GATGCCATTGGCTTGAGAGAAGATAGCATTTTGCAGTAACAGAGTATACACTCAGCATTCTTGTATTATCTCTTTTCAGAGTCAACAAAGCTTCGCTGAGCACCTACTATCCTACTAGATGCTTCACTGATGCTCATTTCTTTTCTTCCCCATAGCTTACTTTATTATTTCCTTGTATAAAATAACTAAAGCATTTTCCCTCCCCAGATGTATGTCCTTCCAGATCTTTTTGTATGCATTTACATACCTGCATTTTCTCCCCTAAGAATACATTGTTGCTTTGTATGGAATTTTTTCTTCTATAAATGTTATATCTTTCTCTATATTGCCCTTTTCTCCCAACAGCATATCCTGGTAACCTGAATAGATCACATATAGACCAAGTTCATTCCTTTAAAAAGCTGCATATTTTTTAAAACTGCCTCCTCAGTGTTCATTTAGCTGTCCCTGGTGGATGGGCACATACACCGCTTCCAGTTTTCTGCTCTTGCAATGTGGCCCTGCATCTCCCTGTACAGCATCTGGGCACACATGTATGAGAAACACTTTGTATACTTTAAATGTTAATGGGCACTGTCAGTTGCCCACCGACATGCCTGTGCATGGTTACCCTCTCAGCATGGCATTTGGTCATATCTGCTTCCCCGTGCCTTCACCAGTACTAGTTATTATCAGACCTTTTCCATTTCTCCCCATTCAACAGGTACACATGTGGCATCTCCCCATTGCTTTAATGCCTGCTCTTTCATGTATTCAACCAACAAATATTTACTGAGCGCCTAATGCGTGCAAGTACCAGGGATGCCGCAATCAAGAACAGCAGGGCCGTTTGGACCTCTTCACGAAGCATGAGGTTGGTACAGATGAGGCTCAGAGAAGTTAAGAGACAGGCCTGGTGTCACCCAGAGGGGGAATAGGGGAGCTTGGAGTTGACTCTGGGTCTGTGTAGCTGTAGAGTTTGATGTAATTTTCATCCTGAATTATACCTCAAATGGGCATCTCAGCCAGGCACTGCACCCTCTTCCTTGACTGCTCCCTCCTCCCCCAGGACTGCTGGGCCTTCTAGTGACATCTAGCGCCGGCAGCAGCCACAGTGCCCCAGGCAGCTGAGCACAGTCCTACCACAGACAGGGCTGCGTCTGTTTCCCAGACCTCACCTCACTCCAGTATCCCACTGACATTAACCCAAAAGGCAAGATAGGTTGCCTTCAGAATCTGCATAGCCTCTCAGTGGCTGAATTGGGTGTCTATTTCTGTTTCCTGAATTTGGGTTTCCAGCAGGCCTGCCCCCAGACTACTGCTGCCCCACCCCAAACCAAACAAGTGAAAGAATGAATCTGTGGTTTGATGTTTTTCCTCTTGTCATCATGTGTCTGACTGAGAGGGTGGATGTGTGCCTGCAAGTACTTGCTTGAGTGCATTTCAGTGTGGGAGGGGAGACGGGTGAGAGCCTGCATGTATGTACGGGAGGGTGTGTGTATATTTGGGAGTCTTCATGTGAACCAAGGTCACTGAATCTGAGTGGGTTTGAATGACGATTTATTTGGATATGTGACTGGGTATCTGTATGTGTTTGTGCCACTTTTTTCTGCATGTTGGTTTTAGGGAAATGTGAGGTTAAGGATGGGTCCATAAACCATACATGTGACCCAGTCTGTGTGCTTCCCAGTGTACTTCCTCTAGTGTAGAGACCGTGTCTCTACAACAGAAGATCTCCTACTTCAGTGCTCATATTATAAAAGGATGCTGTTCAGAGAATAGGGAGGTCCTTTGGTGAGTGGAGCTCAAAACCCCTGACCTTATGCTCAGACCCTCTCTCTCTATCTCCTCCTTTAAACATGCTCCCTAGAAGTGCTTTCCAAACTCTTCTGCAGTGTGCCTTCAATGACTACGGCAGGATTATGTGGTTTAACATTTTTAAATAGGAACCAGGAGGTTTGGAGCAAAGGATGAATCTCTGATCTTTAGACCTGCCCTCCAGGAGATCTTGATCAAATCATTTCACCACCGAGTTTCAGCTTCTTCATCTGTAAAGTGGGAATAGTAATACCTCCTGCTGAGGGTGCCTGGATTCAGTGGAAATATTTTATGTCAAAGGATCTGGCACCTAGTAGGTGCTCAATACATTGTCATTTCCTCAGCCTGTTTGGGCCCTTTACCACACTCTCTAAGAGAGCGCATGGTATCAACCTGGAACATTTCCCTGCTGTGAGTACAGACTGTGTCCCAAACCCGCTGCTAGATGCTTGCATGATCATCATCTCAACAAACCCCCAGGGACTCCTCAAGGGAGGCGCTTTAGCCTCCCATTTTATAGAGGAGGAGATGGGGCACAGAGAGAGGAAATGACTTGCTAAGGCCACACCGTCGAGCTCTGAAAGAGGACCTTCCACTGCATGCCACTGTCTGTTCTGCAAAACTTGGACTTCCTTTTTTAATTGAGCTATAATTGACATACTGTATTAGTCACAATGAAGTGATATATGTAGTTAAATGGTCATGGAAGAAATACAATTAAAAAAATTTTTAAAAGAAAGAAATGATATATGTATCTGTTACGAAATGATCGCCACAAGTAAGGCCCCCTTTTGGTCCCTCCCCCTCCGCCGCAGACACCCCCGTTGCTTCCATGTTCGCTCCATCCTCCATCACCATGTGTTCTGTCTCATTCCTTCAGCCCAAGTGCCAAATGAAACAAAAGGGAATGAGAGCAACCACGTACCAACCCTTTGCTTGGTGCTTTTACACACCGCTGGCTGCTGATCTCCCTGAGGTTGGAATTATTACCCTGCTACACAGATGAAACCAGTAAGCCTCAGAATGAATGTGACTAGTCTGAGATCCCCAAGCTAGGAGTGGGGAGCCAAATGTAAACTGGAGTCTGACCCTAAAACCAAGGCTTGCGGGTTTCAAGGTCGGAAGGTAATTTACATGGGGCTGTGACCATTCCTTAATCCTTTTACCTGACAACTAGCATTTCTTAAAAAAAAATTGTCTAGTACTTTATATGCCCAATAAATAATAGCAAAGCATCATTGAATACCTACTGTGTGCTGGGCCTAGATACAACTTCACACACATGATCTCATTGAACCTCCCAGCCACTCAACAAGAGACCCATTTTACAGATGAGAAGACCAAAGTTTTCTGTTGATATTTGCTCTAACCATCTAATGACACAACATCTTATCTCTGAATTCATTTGGGACCTATGTGCCCGTAGGGCTCTCTTTACTTTTCCCTCTAGCCTTTCTAAGTAAGTGCCCAGTAAATGTTTTCTGAAGGAGGAACTCACTCCTTCAGCCCCTCTGTATTTGAAGTCTCCAGTGCCATCCTTCAGTCCCTCTCCTGGCCACAACCTACCGGTGGCTCTTCCTCTTGTCCCTTCCATCCTCTACAATTCAGTCTCTACACAGCAGCCAGAATCATCTTTAAATACACATTAGACCTTTTCTCTTGCCTCAAATTAATGTCTAAGCTCCCACAGCCTGCAAACTGGTCCCTCCTGGCCCTCCCACCTCCTTTCCTGCCATCTGTATACCCTGTACCCGCTACTCCAGCCTTTGGAACATCTCAAGTTCTTTCCCTCCTTGGGGCTTTTGCACATGCCGTTCCCTTGGCCTGGAACCCCATCAGAGTTGCTCTGTGTTATGTTGCCTTGCTTAACCCCTCTTCCCACCTGTCTCCTGCCACACACCTGGGCTGGCTACTGTGTTTGGATCACATCAACAGTGTGTGGGCCTGTGGGCATCCTGTGTGTGCACACTTGTGTGCACACGTGTGTGAGTGTATAGGCCAAAGGAGGTCTCTGCACAAGCAGAGTGTTGCCCATCTACTGTGGAAACTTCCCGGTGTCTCTACCCTCCATTCATTTCGGCCCCTGTGCTGGCATGGCTCCTTACACTTTCATGAGGTCTCATCACAAGGCACAGGTCCCACCTTTTCTGTTTTGCGCTACCAAATACAACACCTTTAGTGAATTCAAAATGCCAACTCAAAGAAAGTCATCCAGTGTGCAAGCTTTAATCACTGTTGCATAGAAATCACTTGTAACATGTTCCTGCAAAAAGTTTGACTTCCTTCTAGCATTCCATGCATGATGGTGTTTTTCATTTGAGTGAAGCAGGCACAAGAACAAGCCATGGAGTGCTATCTCAGTTGTGTTTCCACTCTAAGTGAAAGGAATAGGAAAGGGACCCTTGATAGTTATACTGCATAAGGTTACTAACGCTCTCCTTTGGGTCATCTACTGCTCATTTGTAATCAAATATGGACATGGATAGAGCATAGACTTTCATCAAGTTCCTTTTGACCTATGAATCCATCCATTCCAACCATTTAAAAAGACTGAGTGAAAAGAGAAAAAGACTGGGATGACTGGGATGACTCATGGATGGGTCACGAGTCATCCCAGTCTTTTTATCCAACATTCATTTCATTCTTTCGGCTGTATCCAGGCTACCCATGTAGTTTCAGCCCAAACATCTGTTCTTCCATCTGTTGGTCCATTCAATTCATCCTTCTAATTGGCCATCTATCAGTTCACCTGCCCATTTGTTTGTCCACAATGATCTAGTCATCCACCTCCCTAGTCAGTTATTTAACCAACTCACTATCCATTCACCAGCCACATCCAGACTTTCCACTCATTCAACTGGTGCATTCTTCCATCCTTCCATCTACCATCTATCAGTCCACTTAAGCAATTACTGACCATTCTATTACATCTCTTTACCTAACCATCCTTCTAATGAATTATTTATCCACCCAGCCTCCCATCCAACCATTCATCCTTCCACCTAGCTAACCTGCCACCTGCCCACTTTCCCAATCAACCCACCCAACTTAATTGAAGAACTAGTTCAGCAAAATGCACCACGTATAAAACTCCCATAGCTTTTATTCTCCCCCTTTGCCCTAGCCTGTGGTTCCTCTGTGCTCTGGCCTGGAGGCCGCAGCCTTCACCTCACTGCCCCAATGTCTGGCTGGGTAGCTACCCCTCACCTGGGGAGTTCTGTGGCCTGAGCTTCAGTGTTTGTTTTGTATACCTGCTGGCTCCTCTTGACCACCTTCCTCTTATTACTTTTCCTCCCAAGTTTTTCTTTTCTTGGTGTAGCTGCAAGAATGGGTGGTGGGTTGTGTGGGGACAGTGGTGGGAATGCATGGTACGTTTGTCATGTCCTGGTGGTGGGTTGGGGCTTGGACTCCGACTGTGGTGGCCGGATGGGCTATGGTGGCTGGCTGGGCTTTGGCTGGAGCTGTGGCTTCAGCTGTATCTCGGGCTCCGGCTACGGGTCTAGCTGCAGTTCTGGCAATGGTGGCTGCAGTTGCACTGGTTGCAGATGTGGCTTTGGGGCTGAGAGTTGCTACAGGCCTGAGTGTGGATGATGGGAGGGTTCTGTGTCTTGGTGTCCCTGGGAGGCCACTCTTAGACGGGCAGAGGCCGCTTCCTCCTCCTTTTCTTTCAGCACACCCAGCTTTATAGAGTCCCTGGCATGCTCTAGTTATATAGTTGGGCCTGATTTTGATGGGGGTGTAACAGATGTGGCCCAGTGACACAAAGCCCCCTATTCCTTACCCTAACCTCCAGGGTGGGGCAGCTTGCAGGGGCCTTCTGGGGTAATCCTATCTGTTGACTAAAAGTAGGGACCCTTGGATCAGATAGAACTGGGTCCACATCACAGATCTGCTTTTTCCTTTCTTTATGGGTTACTCACCTGGGCCCAGTTCCCCTATCTTTATAGAATGGGGACATTAAGAATACCTTACCTCTTAGGAATGCCAGACAAGTTAAATGAGAGACTCTGTGTCTAGCTCAGGGCCAGCCCACAGTAAGAACTCAGTAAACATTGATTAAGCATTCTCTTTCTTATTCCACCCCGGCAGTTTAGAGGCCAAGAGCATGGTCCTGACCCCAGTGATCCTTGGCTGGAGGATGGGTGCTTGATAAGATAGATACTGTTGAAGAACTGGATGGCTTATCAGATGGATGAATGATAAGAGTAACGGAATAGTCTGCTGGGTTGTCATGGGGCCTGCTAGTAAGCCACTGACTGAGCAAGATTTAGAGCCAGGTTCAATCTCAGTTTGTGCTGATGTCCTGTCTTGGAAAGGCCATTTTGGTTTTGAGGCTTGGCTTCCTTAATCTGACAAATGGATGTCATTCCTTCCCTCCTGGTATTCTTGTGAACCTGAGGAGCCTGTCAAACCACAGGAGGCCCTTGAAAACCCTCTTCCTCCCTCAGATTCCTGCCTCCTGACTCTACTCCCCTTCCCTGCTAATGAAGCCCCATCTGTCATTGGAATCACACCAGCCCCCGCCCAGATCTCCCAACACCTATGGAAGAAAGCCCAAACCTGTGTTTGAACAGGAGGTCCTGTGAGCAACAGCAGCCCAACCCTTCCTACACCTTGGCCAAAGCCCTTGGGTGTAGCTCTTGGCTAGTCTAGCTTGCAGCTTCCCCCTTCTCCCCTGTGAAACTCCCTCAGTCTCCAGCTCCCCTCCCCTGGCAGGCCCCCTAGCCCACGTATACTGCTCCTTCTCCATTGCTCATGCACACTTAACCTTTTGTTATGAGGCTTTGCTATCATCTGCTTTTATTACAGTTTATTTCTTAACAAGCATGTCACATCACTCACAGTGAAAACCACCCTCATTTACTAAGCACTTCCTATATAGCTAAGCTCCGGGCAACGCCCTCTCTTCTTCTAGGCAGTTTAGTCGTTGAGTCTTACACTGGCCCTTTGAAAGATATGCCCAGGTCCTAATCCCAGAACCTGTCAATAGGACCATATTTGTAGAGGGGGGGGGGGGGAAAGGCATTTTTGTAGATGTGATTAAATTAAGGATAGTATCATGATTATCCAGGTGGGCCCTAAATCCAGTCACAAGTATCCTTGTAAGAGGCAGAAGACACATGGGAGAATAGACCATGTAAAAGCAGAGGCAAAGATTAATGTTATGTAGGCACAAACCAAGGATTGCCTTGGGTCACCATGAGCTGTCACCATGAACTGTACAAGGCAAGGAAGGATTCTCTCCTAGCACCTCCAGGAAGAGTATGGCTCAGCTGACTTCTTGATTTCAGATTTCTGGCCTCCAGAATGTGAGAGGATAAATTTCTGTTACTTTTAAAAAGATTTTATTTATTTATTTTTAGAGAGAGGGGAAGGAAGGGAGGAGAGGAAGAGAGACATTGATGTGTGAGAGAAACATTGATCAGTTGTCTCTTGCACACACCATGACTGAGGACTGAAACCGCAAACCAGGCATGTGCCCTGACTGAGAGTCGAACCGCTGACCTTTCACTTTACAGGACGATACTCAGCTAACTGAGTCATGCTGATCAGGGCTAAATTTCTGTTATTTTAAGCTACCAACTTTGTGATGATTTATTGCAGCAGTCTCAAGAAACTACTGAACCCTCTGAAGCAGATATGATTATTACATTTTACAAAGAGGGAGCAGACTCAGAGAACTTGGGTAACTAGCCCAGAGCCTCACGGCTAGTCTGAGGCAGAGCCAGGATCGAAATCCAGGTCTAGCCCCTTCTTGTCTGGCCTTGTGGTTACTGAGGGGTCCCAGGGGATTACGGAGGGCACATGTGGCTCTGTTCTAATGGCCTTGCCTTGTGTGGGTTCCGTTGGGCTGGGTGGAGGCCATGCTGTGAGAACTCCTTCTGAGTCCCCCATCCTCTCTGCACGCCTCTACTGCTAATTCCCCACTTCCAAATGCTCCAGTGTGTAGTAGGACAGAGACTCTGTTTTATTAATCTTAGAGCCTGTAGTGACTGGCACATACAGAAGGGGCTCTACAAATGTTTTCTGGGTGACTGAATGGGCAGGTGGATCTCCGGGACTTGGACAAAAGGACAAAGCTGGTTGACTGAGTTACTTGGTCAGGACTTGGACAGCAGGGGCCTCCTCCTCTGGCTATCACTTGCCCTTTGCAGTCTGCAAGTCTCAGCAAGCAGCCTCCCCGTGAGTAACCCAAGGCTTCTCCTTACCCCTGACACACCCCCCCACCCCAAAGGAGCTGAAGTTCCCTGGAAACACTGCCCCTTCCATGCCCCAGCAGCCCTGATCAGGATTCTTCTCAGCCAAGTGGCTCGTTCTTGGGGGCCTCCCGAGGGCAGAGGGTGGAGATCACATTTGTCATTTCTTCAGGGGCAGGATGGCCAACAGAAATGTCCTGATGCTTCTCTAAGTGGACAGCGTAAGTGGACACAGGGCTTGGGTTCTGTATCTGTGTTTGGCTGCTTCTCTGGGCTTCCTTTACCCATTGCTCTAATGAGGACATGGGTTCTGCCCTCACAGCCAGAGCCCTTGATAAAGGCACACATGGGCCTCTGAAGGCACGATGGTCACCTTGAGTGTGAGGGTGGCAGCAGAAAAATCATTTGCTGAGAGGTACTCAGACCCCTCCACATACTCTGATCCTAAAACTAGGGCCTGTGAGGCAGATGGAGCCACCATGCTCCAGTGATAACACCTGTGTTAAACATTCACTCTGTGCCGGGCCTGGGCCCACCCAACACTTCACATAATTTTGCTGACCCGCTGACAAATGGGGTACTACTAATCTCACCCTTAAGCAGGGGAGGGCAGGCCAGGTCTCAAAGTCAGACAGGTACTTCCTCAGGTCACATAGCAAGCAGAAAGAAATTTGAACCCAGGTGTGCTGAACTCCCAAGCCAGTACTTCTTAATAAAACTCTCCATATAGTTTTATTAAGCAGCAGAATATGGGGGCGGGGGAGGGTGGTGAAGAGAGACTGCACTGTCCCATCAGGTGCTCTTGGCCTGTGTCTACTCAGACATGGAGAGGAATCTCCCCACTCACCTATGTCTCCCATCCCCTGACACACATGTACCCTGAGATGGGACTGGCTGAGATGGCTTTCCAGCCCAGGCTGCCACATTTTCACCCCCAAAACAGGGGAGGGCAGCTGAGAAATCACAGAAAGTGAACCTTGTGAGAACTTCTGGCTGGACATCAGGAGAAGGGGTCAGGGGTCACTGACTCCTCCTCATTCTCCCTAAACTAACTCTCTCTCTCTCTCTCTCTCTCTCTCTCTCTCTCTCTCTCACACACACACACACACACACACGGCACCCCAGGCATAGGGTTGGGGAGGCCAGAAAGGAGGAGGAGAATTACTTTGGAGACTTTACTGATTCTTTTCTGAACATTCTTCTCATTGGAACAGCAGCAGGTGCCTCTTTCTGGGTCATGTCATCTGGGATCAGGAGAGTGACTGCTTGGGCTTGGGACTCTGCTGGGCCACAGGGTCATCCTCAGCACCCTCCTCCTGGCCCCCAGGCTCCATCAGCAGCAGCTTGCCCTGTACTGGGAGCTCCTCCTCCTCCTCCTCCTCCTCTTCTCCCTCCTCCTCTTCCTCACCCTCTGAAGACAAGGAGAAGTTATCTTGACTCACGCAGGCCACAAGCTTCTTCATGGAGGACTCATGGCCCCGACTGTGGCTTGTGCTTAGCTTGACACAGTGGGAACCCATTGCTTGCTTTGATTGCTTTGCTGGACTGGAAGGAAAGGCCACTGGAGGGGGGTGCAGAGTAGAAGGGCCGTGAGGATTGTAGGCAAGGCACTGACATCACAAAGGGGCCCCCAGGGCTCCCCACCCTTGGATACCTGAGTCACAAGCAGCCCCAATGAGCTCGTGCCACATACAGAGCAGGACAGAGACAGAACACCAGACCAGTACCAATATTGCCTCCCCTTGCCAGGTTGCCACCTCCATCTGGCCTCATTTGTCCTCATAAAAGTCCCCTTTTTAGCCCTGTCTAGTGTGGCTCAGTTGGTCGGGCATCATTCCTGAGAGTGGAAGATCGTTAGCTTGACTCCCAGTGAGGGCGCATATCTAGGTTGTGGGTCGGTCCCCAGTTTGGGCCTGTACGAGAAACAGCCGATAGATGTTTTTCTCTCACATGGATGTCTCTCTCCCTCTCTTCCTCCCTCCCTTCCCCTCTCTCTAAAAATAAATGAGATCTTTTAAAAATAAAAGTCCCCTTTTTAGCTGGAATGGCAGTTGGGGATAGGATTTCCAGAAGCAGGAGAGTGCACAGACTCCTTCCCATATCCCATATCCCAGAAATACCCAGCTTAAGAGAGTTGTTGACTGTGTGTGATAGGTCAGAATACTGGCTACCTTTTGGGGCTGGGGACACAGCTGAAAATGCTCACTTTCTTGACCCGGGTGCTGCCTATACAGGTGTACTTAAAATTTGTGTCCTCTGCATGCTCTAAACCTAAAGAAAACCCTTCTCTTTTCTGTCCTCCAAAAATCACTAAAGGCAGTGCTGCTAGCTTTTGGTGTCACAGGTCTTTTTAGCTTCACATGCCTATATGACACAATTTCAGCATGGGAGGGGGCAATTAAACCCCTTTGGTATTCACTTTCCAACACATAAATCAGATCTTGCCAGTGTTCGGCCCCAAATCCTCAGTGGCTATGGGGCGATCGTCCTGGATTAGCTGGGTTGGCCTCAAAATGCAATCACAAGTATCCCTGTAAGGGGGGGGGGCAGATACTTCACAGAGGAGGCCATGTGACCACCAAAGCAGAGACCGGAGTGATACGGCTACAGCCGAGGAGCACTGTGGATGATGGAGCCGCCAGAAGCTAGGGAGAGGCCAGAGTGGATTCTTTCCCCAGCCCCACCCCAGCTGAAGAGGAAACGTGGCCCTGCTGACCCTGGTACACATGGTCCTGTCTCATAAATCAAGAGGCTCTCAGGACTCACACAAATCTGCACCTTCTTTCCTCCATGCCAGACCTGCTTGCTATCTCAGCATTCTTTCCTAAGTTACCCAACACATCCCTTAAGATTCTTCAGGTTGAGAGCCTGAAAGACCTCAGGAGATGTGGATGACAAGGGAAGGGGAAGGCCAAGGGGGGACTAGTGTGGCCCTTGGCATCCTAAAAGGAAAACCCTGGCTCTGGCTGACAGATGTCACAGGTAACACTATGGTTCCTAGGAGCACTGAGGGCTGAACCCCCTGCCCTAGCCCCCAGCCCCTTTTCTCCCCAAGGAAAGGCATCCATGTTTGTGCCATTTGCATAAATGAGACCCTGACAGGCCAGCACATTTCTTATCTCAAGCTTTATTTGGCAGATGACTTTTGCTCATTTTACTCGTGAACTTCTGGGCTCGGGGTTTGGGCATCCAGCATGGAGGGATTGCTGTGGTCTCGTGAGGTGTTCTTTGGCAGCTGACTTTTCCTTCATTTCCAACCAGGGTTGTGATGGGCCTAGGAAGCGTTAACGACACCTTCTGTATCTCCTCCTCCTGATTCTTCTGCTTCCTTTTGGAAAAGAAATTTCTGGTCATAGGGCAGTCTAGGGGGCTTGGGTGGGGCTGGGGGTTAGGGACTGTCAGGTGGGCTGGGGTCCCAGGGCATCGTGAGCCTCCCTCTCCCCACCCTCCTGTGCATGAGGGGTGCCCAGAGTGAGAGCGACTGGCACTGGCTGACCTCTGCGGTGCCTCCTGTGCCTGCAGGCGCGTCTTCGGCGTCTTCGGCAAGAGCGGCGCCGCCTTCGGGAGCAGTGCCTGCGTCTATACTGATAGCAGCCTCTGAGCGTCCTTCCATCAACCTGGACCTCCTCTGCATTCGGCTCCTGCTCTTGTTCCTCACCCCCCTGCTGTGGAGGTTCGCTCAGACTCCTCATCTGGTGTCGGACCATTGTGATCACAGGTCAGGCCCTTAGGCTGAAGCTGTAGCTGGCTTTGTGGGCAGGGGAGGAGGGCTGAGGCCTGCCCACCTGCTCTTGCTGTTGTTGGTCTGGTCTGCTGGAGGCTCTTTAGGCACTTGTATATAAAGGGAGCCCCCCACTATGACTTGGCAGCCCCACCCCACCATTGTCCTCACCCTGGCCAGCCCCCTCTGTGAAGAAAACACAGAGCAGGCGTCTGTCCATAGCCAGCAGGGCCCAGAAGGGGAAGCCATTCCTTCCTGGTTCCTTGAAGCGGGTGGGACTCTGCCAACCTTTTCTTGTCCAAATCTAAGCCCTTATCTCACTCAGTTGGTGGGAATCCATACACAGCCATTTCTGAAGCTTCCTCACCCCTTAGAGGGTGCGCCAGTTGTCTGGGTGGGACTTCATTATTGCTTATCTGTCCAACAGTTATCTAGTAATTACTACATGCCAGGCATTTAAGTCACTTTCCACATGTTTACTCATTTATTCCTCACTGTTATAATCCCCTTTCCTTGGGGAAAACTGAAGCACAAAGAGGTTAAATGACTTGTTCAAAGTCGCTCTGCAAATAAGGTGCAAGCCTGGGCTTCAGAGTCTGTGTCCTTGCCCTTGGCTCTCCACCCTCTTCCCAGCCCTCTTGTTGTACTTTGATGATCCCACTGAAGCAGAATCCAAATCATAGCAACTGGTTTCTCTTTCACACACGAAGTTTATCCATGCCCTAATCCCTGAGCCTGGGAATATTATTCTGGCAAAACAGACTTTCTGGATGTGAGTTAAAGATCTGAAGATGGGGAACTCATCCTGGATTATTCTAGGTGGGCTCAAAAGTAGCTACATTCAAAAGAGGGAGGCGGGAGGGTCACAGGAAGAGAGATTTGAAGATCCTATGCCACTGGCTTTGAAGATGGAAAAGAAGGAACCCATGTTCCTCCACCGACCAGTTTTGAAATTCTGTTAAAATAAATTGAGTTGTAAGCTATGAAGTTTGTGTAATTTGTGGGAATTAGTTTCCTATGGGCACTGTCACAAAACTAACACAGAGGCTAGTTTCACCTTGGCGCTCATTATTGAGGTGGGCATTTGGGATTTCTGTGTCTAGCCATCTGCCGTTACCTGACTGGGTACAGGAAGTGGCTGGGGTCATGGAAGCAGTTGCAGATCCCCACTTAATGCCCTCACCTGGGTCATCCATACCTATTTTGCAAGGTCCGTGTGAGGCCTAGATTGTGCTACATCCATAATATCTGTATGACGGTGCCCAAAACAGGGAAGTCACGGCCATGTTTCTAGGTTCTCGGTGGCCCTATCATGTTGGGGAGTAAGAGTCTCAGCCCAGGGGTTCTTGTGAACCCGTCTTGTGAACCATCTCCACCTCTCACTGGTTTTTCAAGCCGTCAGTGTATCACATGAGTTGAGTGGGCAGACAAGATTGTCATGTCTCCGTGTTTCCCTGTAACTTAAGGTACGTGGTGGGCAAGCGACCATCACTGTGCCCAAACCGGCGGGAGGTTTGGCAAGAAATAAACCTTGATGAGCTTGAGCTGGAAAATGTTTACCTGGCTCTCGGGGGTAGGAGTAAGGGAGAGCAGGCCCTGACTTGTAGCATTTGCACAAATTTCTGTGGTCTGTTTCAAGCTGCCAACATCAAGTCATGGAGTACAGAGTTGGAGAGATGCACTCAGAAACGAGTGTGACCTGGCTCCTGCCCCCAGTGCGGGGGGAGATCTGTAAAGGGCTGCATGAAGAGGCGGGTTTTGATTGGGTAGTCAAGAATTTGAACAAGATTCATTGTGACAACTGTCACTCATGTCCCCTCTTCCCCGCACCCCTAATCCCTCTCCCTTGAGCCCCTTTCTCAAGGCAAAACGACAAGAGCGGAGTTATTTTTTCAACGTTTATTGACAGGCGGCGTTGTTCGTTAGGAGGCTCCTGTTCATTTCATTGGCATGGTGGCATGTTCAAGATGTGGCAAGAGGGTCTTGTAGGCCGGTAAAATTCAGGCAGGAGTGTGGTGGACTTGCTGGCTTGTGCCTTTAGCATCTCATCTTCTTCTACACCTTACAGTGTAGCGGCGGCAGCACACTGTGGGGCAAGATGGGGGAAAGAAAATTTCACTGTAACCAGAGTCCTCAACTCTTGGGACTCAGAGGTATCCCCTTTACCTCTTCTCCGCCTTCGACAACAGCGCCTCCTTCGTCTGCGACATCTTCGTCTGCGGCGGCGGCATCTGCTCCGGCTTGGGCTGCGGCAGCATCTGTATCTGGCCATGGTACTAGATGGAGTAGGCCTGGATGCTCAGAGCAGGGGTACCACCTTGACTGAGCCAGCCAACCTGTGAGCAGGTGGAACTTTGTGGGCTGTGAGCCAGGGGCTGGCTCCTGGGCCTCTTATAGACACAGCAGGAGCCGGGGCATTGTGAGGTTGCGGGCCCTGCACCTCAGACCACAGCCAAAGCTGTCCTGTATCATGTCCATATATGGGCATGTGGGAGGCCCTTGGTGAGGGCAGGGTGGGGCTGCCCAGGTCACCAACCACCAGATGACTTCTCCATAAGGATAATCACTGATTCATTCAGTGATTTGTTAATTACAAAATATTGTGCACCTACTAGGTGCCAGATTCTGGGCCAGGTTACAGCATACATGATAAATAAGGCAAACATGTTCCTGCCTAATAAGCTTTCTAACTACGGGAAACACTAATGAAATAACCACAGAGAATAATCGTAGTTGTGAAAAATGCTGAGGAGAGAAACTTCAGATTTTTATGAGGGTATATGTTGGGGGGACTTGACC